AAAAAAAAGTACTTGACACCTCTATTCACTTCCTTTCTTAAAAATTATTCTCCCATTTACTTTTACTGCAGCCTACTCCTCCTTTGTCTTTGCCAATCTTCAATATCACGTTTTTTTATTTTTTATTTTAATTTTTTTTTTAGTTGGAGTCTCACTCCGTCTTCCAGGTTGGAGTGCAGTGGCACACTCATGGCCACGGCAGCCTGGACCTGCTGGGCTCAGGTCATCCTTCCACCTCAGCCTTCCAAGTAGCTGAAACTATAGGCACATGCTACCATACCTGACTTGTTTTTTGATTTATTGTAGAGTCAAGTTTTCACCAAGTTTCCCATGCTGGTTTCAAACCCCTGGACTCAGGTGATCCTCTTGCCTTGGCCTCCCAAAGTGCTGGGATTACAGACTTGAGCCACCACGCCTGGCCAATATCATGTGTTTTTTTTTTTAACTCTGCAAAAGAACCAGCCATGGTGGCTCATACCTGTAATCCTAGCACTTTGGGCGTCCAAAGCAAGAGGATGGCTTGAGCCGAGAAGTTTGAGACCAGCCTGAGCAACATAGCAAGACTTTGTCTCTACAAAAAATTTAAAAATTAGGCAGGCATGGTGGTGCACACCTGTGGTTCCAGCTACTCAGTGAGATGGAAGGATCACTTGAGCCTAGGATGTCGAGGCTGCAGTGAGCCATGATTGTGCCATTGCACTCCAGTCTGGACGACAGAGCGAGACCACAACTCAAAAAAAAAGAAAAACCTGCAAAAGACTTCTAATGACTCAGACCCCCTTAAAAACTCAGAAAAAGAGCAACTTACCCTTTCTGGGGAGTCTCCTACTTTCCTTGTGGAGTTTCAAGAGTCATGGGCAGATTTTTCCAGGTCTGTGGCTCTACTTTCTTTTGTATTACATTATCTCATCTCTTTGACCTTTGGGAGGGATACCAAAAATTACTTTGTGTTAAAAAAAAAAACTTGACCACTGGGCTTGGTGGCTCAGCCTGTAATCCCGCGCCTTTGGGAGGCTGAGGTGAGTGGAT